AATTGTAAACAAATTGTGAATTATGTCATTATGCGTATGCAGTAGGTAAAGGTCTTCGGCCTCAACCGGAGAATCATTTAATGAATGGCCGAAGAAATAATCAACCGAGACCGTCCTGTGGAGACCGAATTACCTAGCCGTAATTGAAAAACCCATTTCTATACATATAAACCGTGTTGGTACTTGCAATATAATGCAAATGAGTTATATTTTTTATCGAACGTGAAAATAAACTTTTAATCATTGTAATTAAGTAACTAATTGGTTAATTTGTTGAAAAATACCACGTAGAACGAAGACCGCAATTTTTTTTTAAGACTGAAAAACAATTTTAACTAAAACGCAAGACTACATACAAGTCTGTCGCGATCTGTAAATTGTGGCGCCCCAGACTCCAGCCTTACGTGGGATTACAGGCCTAAACCCTTTGTTTTAAAGCAGTTCCAATCATTTACGAACAAGCAGTTTATAATCCATTCAATTCCAATGTAATAATTATCCATTTCTTTACCAGTTCAGCTGGAAAAGGTATTTAAATTTTAAATGAATGTTTATAACCTCATTAAAATCAATTCACCCACTTATCTTTATGGGGACAGTTTGTTAACTAAACGAAAACAATTCGGTAAGATAATAAAATTAATGACACAGTGTTGTTTTTTATTATCTGAAATAATAAGGCAGGATATACGTTGGGTTAGTTTTCTGGGTAGTGTTGCCCTGCCCCTTGCCCTGCTACAAACGTTTCGCCGTTCTTCACAGCCGGCATCTTCTACTTTTTTTAGACGGTTTGATTCTACACAAGTGAGATTTTAATATTTTCGTAATTGAAACAATAATTTTTCAAAATACAGTCGTCTATTATATTACGCGTTCTACAATTCTATATTTTGTGGTTCTTCCATAATACCCCACGTAGATAGATGTCATTACAGTTGTTACAATATTCATGTTCCACAATGATTTCGCCATTAAAAGTTCTAAACTGATTGAAAGTTGTAAACTAATACAGTAATAATAAACTGAACTGTCTGAGCTTGTAACAATTTTAAAAGTTGAGAAAGTTAACGATAAAATTGACGTAAACGCGACGACGATGTGTCAGGGAGTGTTTTTAGCACATTTCGAGTTAAAATGTCAAACATAAAATTCGAAATAGATTTCGTGATGATGCTACACGGGCGTACAGTTTCGCCTCTTATATGGTATATAATAATCTAATAGGAATAAAAAACAGCGATGATGGATGGGTTAATCAATTTCGTTCGGAATAAAAATTCCAGCCATAAAACGTAAATTTGTAACCTCTTTTATTATTATGTATCTATTATAAAAGAGAGCGACGGTTTTTAATCGCGTAGAAGCGGAGCCTTCCGCAACACCTTTCGCGTATTAAAAATTACGTTTCCATAGAAAAGCAACCTGGGCATATAACTCTTGAGTTTTATTATTTCAAGGATTTTCGACAAATAAACACAAACATATATTTATTAGTATTGTGTGTGTTGTACACATTTCAATCAAATCGCGATTTGTACAATTTGCTATTTTCAGCGGTGACCGTCTCTGTTGCAAGAAAAATGTAAAATCTAAAGTACGAATCAAGTAAAACGTATGTACAGTTTGTCTCACATTCTTTATCGTTTATATATATAGGTAGTCCAGCTTTTGTCACTCGGACTTTTACAACTGAAAACCTCGAACGAGAAGCGGTTAATTTATTAGGATCAAAGATTGTTGTAGGAAAAGACAACACGAACAGAGTATCGTGATCTAATATTGTAAGGATTTAACAACAGCGATATTGTACGTAGCTTCGAAACAAAAAAGTTTGACAGTAAAGCGCAATTTTTTTTAGCTTGATTGTTTTTTAACTCCTTGGCCTCTTGGTATAGTTAATTAGTTGCATCACTGCTACCCAAATGTTGTTTATAGATAAAACAAGCTAACAAAACAAAAGTTTTCGATTCGCCAATATGGCGTCCCAACTGTATATTCAGCATTCGCCATATTGATTATTCTGTGACAGTACGTTCGTGTTCGCTGTAGCCGTTCGAATAACATACGATTATTTATTATCGTTAACGGGGTTGTTTAGACAAAAATAATAACAACTTTCTCACGAAGGTTTCATTGGAAAGAAAAGCGTTGTTTGTATAAATAAATAATAAAGTGAATTTTTAGCGAACGTTCGACCTATGTATACATGTAAACTGGACACGTACAAGCGTGCATACACGCCAAGTGTTCGCTTACAACAATATAAATAGGCTTATGGTCAATTATAAATGGACTAATATTAACTGCCAACAATCAAGCCTACTTTCAAAACAAACTGCTCATAAATTACTAAGGATAACGTTAGTGGAACAATTAGTAATTAAACGATGTTACGCTAATTTAGAACAAGTGGGGTGCGCAAGAGGTGGGATTTTGTTAACAAAATCAAACGACCATTTATCACGTCTATATTTTTGTTATGTATGTATGTATGTATGTAGCATTATTATTATTATTATTATCGTTTCTTACGCTTCAAACTTCCTTAAGGATGTTTGGGAGGTACGTCAAAATGCTACGAGACAAATAAAAATTTGGAAGAACGTTCCCCATTCAATTCTAAAACTCCTGTAAAAATTACAAATCGATTCACTAAACCGCTAAGAAGTTATTGAAATTTTAAAAAATTGTAATTTTACACGTCATTTTATGCAGATTCGTTAAACGAACAGATTAAATTTATTTTTATTAACAGAAAAAAAGCTACCCGAAATTTCAAACTTTTATAAGAAGTAACTCTGGAGAATCACTTTGGCGTAAGGTTATTCAAATTATTCAAAATGGTTATCGAGGAAAAAATGAAAAATTAGCTGAAAATCTCGTTTTTACTTGATAATATTTATAATTGTCTGAAATAAATGCAATTTTAAAGTTTTAATTATTATTTAAACATATTAAAAAGTTTTACGCTCATTATTAATAAAGATTGAAACTAAATATTTTTTTGTTTCGAAGTTGAAATCAAGGCATATTCACTGCCAAAAGTCAGTTAAAAATGTTCCATATTATTCATTATTTTCTCTCAAACTGTATACTTTTTTTTTAGTATAGATAGTATTTATTTACCTCATGATATGCTGCAAAACCTAATTAATCACGAATTTCTAATTTTATGTACTGTTGTCTCCGATTGTACCTCCCAAACATCCGTAACTCTGATCGATTTACCCAAGTAAATATAATAATAACAGCGGACCCGGAAAGCATCCTTGTGGGACGCCGTCCATCGGACAAAAATTTTATTTTGCTAGATACATATTTTTATTGTCAACGGAATTTTAACGTTCGCATTACGTATTTTTATATCAACCCTATAGGTGGAAAAAAGTTCACACACGTCTTAGTAGTCACCCCTATCCTTGGCATGTAAATAAAAGCCGTAAATACTTTTAAACTACCCTCGCCGATGGAGGTCAAAATTCACCCTGTAAACAAAAGGATGTCTTATTCCCTAACTCGGTGAAAAATTGTTCAATTTACCATATAAATCAGTCAGATAAAAAAATCGGGATCGGGTGCAACCGACCCTCCTTTTCTTAAGAATTTTAGGAGGCAAATAAAGAGAGAGAGAGACGAGTGAGTATTTTTTTTATTTGCTAATAAAGGTATCGGTTTTCAGATCTATAAAAAAAATAACGAAAAAAAAGCCCTGCACCGTCGTTCTTTTGTCATCAACCCCTTGGCCCGCAGGCGAGCTCACAAAAAGCATAAAATACGGAATTTCACACACTCAAGTGTCTCGATCCCAGATATTTGGGGTGAAAACGTTTTAGCAGACACGCTCGCCCATATGATTCGTAACGGTCTCTGCCTTAATAACAATGCCAGAAAACGGAAAGGTCTGCTACAAGAGAGTGGAATAGACACAAGGCTACAGACAGTTTATTTGTGGTAATTTCTCTTAATATGTGGTAATGGTTTGTTCTGAAGGGTTGTAATTTTAAACTTATGATAGACCGACCCTTTAAATGCAACTGAAAAAATATGGATCTTCTTTCAAATCCCTGAGGGTTATATATATATTTTTTTTTGTTGAAAGCATGAGAATTCTAACCTTTCTATTTGATATTATACAGATAGAATATCCTCCTGTGTGTACAGATTAATGAATCAATATGTGAATATTAACGGCCAATTTTGTTTACGGGTTAAACGCTTATCGGTGGTAGAAAATGTTCTTAGAGGGCCGAGAAAATGTGAACGAGAAAGAGCGTGCAGGACGCTCGAGCACATCAACAAAAAACGAAAACATCGATGAAGTGAAGAAAATAGCGTTGGCCAATCGTCGAATCACCATTAGAGAAATCCTATGACATTGTTAGTTACTTAATAGTGAATTAATATGCAATATTAATTTGAAATAATTTTTTCGATTTTTTATTTACCCACTACAAACTACCTCAAAGTAATGAGGGAAAAATTGTTGCTGTTGTCACACCCCCCCGCCGGGAATCGAACCCGGGACCTTTGGCTTTACTCACCAATGTTCTGACCACTAAACTACGAGAGGTGACGACAGCAACCACGACCAACCGTAGTTTAGTGATAGAACATTGGTGCGTAAAGCCAAAGGTCCGGGTTCGATTTCCGGCGGGGAGGGGGGGGGTGTGACAACAGCAACAATTTTTCCCTCATTACTTTGAGGTAGTTTGTAGTGGGTAAATAAAAAATCGAAAAAATGATTTCAAATTAATATTGCACCATTAGAGAAGTTGTTTACCTTTATCGATCGATCGATCGATTAACATTGTTAATGAGCTGTTGGACTCTCTCTTTCTGGTAATTTGAATCATATGCTCCCGTGTATTGGGAAGTTATTTGTGTGGACCTTAATGGTCCCGAACACAGACAATCCAGACCCACCCGCAAGACTTTCTTATTCTTTGAAACAGTCTCCACTTTTTAATATTAATTGCAACACCCTGGAAAAATTTACTTACCACTACTAAACGCCGCAATAGGCAACTGTCGTGAAATGGATTCCGCAACCTCGGACGTGAGTCCGTAGATGCCCAGTAGTTCCCTCATGGTGTTGAACGCGTACTCCCTCATATCGCTGACCTGTCCCTGACTGAGTCCCACTTCCGACACGTGAGGTTTCGAGAGATTGTGAATAGAAAAACTGGACGGTATCCGACTTTCGGTCTCCCTCTCGCTTCCGTACGACTCCTCCTCGTTTTCCGCATTATCGCCGTCGTTTTCCGTGAAATAATTTTCGACCGCGTCGTTCACGGACGTTTCCGAATCGTCCGAGCTGCTGTCGGTATCGTTCTGCGACTTACTGAGATCCATGGGTGAGAAACGGGTATCGACGACGATCTTCCTCGTGGACAGTGTTTTTCTGCGTCTCACATTCTTCAAATTGTTGTTGTTCGAGAGCTCGGACAGATTGAGGGCTTCGTTATTTTCCGTGTCCGAATACGAAACGTTTGAGCAACGCGGTTTAAAGTTTTTCCGCTTGTTCCGCTTCGGTTCCGACGTTTTCGAGGAGTTTGTCGACGACGGAAACATCTCCGGTTCGGAATCGCTAGAAGCCAAGGGCGGCGGATTTGAAGCGCGGAACATCGACGAACGGTGATGATAATGGTCGAAATCAGGCTCCCGGGACTCGGCAGCCATCTTGGCTGCTACCTGATCTGAAATAAAAAATGAAAACTGTTGATAAGGTGCAAGTAAAAATGCCTAAATCATATATATAAAAAAAGAATATATAGAACATTGCGCCACTGCTCCACCAGAAGATATTACAGAGGCGGGACTCACCCCTTCCCGTGAAGGGAGAAAAAAGAAAAAGCTTTCTACCAAAGGGGAACGATGCGGGAACCAAATAAAAAATATATTTTTAATGTTGTTCCACAAAATTTTGCTGTTTCTACGGAATGCAATAATTTTCATAGAAAATTAAAATTTAATTGGGAAAGAAGCTTTTCTAACCATCTCTTTCTCCTTCCCGTATCCCTTATCATACCACATGATATCAATTAAGTATTTATGAAGATAAAATTTTATGGAATAATTCAATTTTTTTGTGATTTTGTTTCTGATTGAAATTTTATCATATTCGATCATAAACATGCGAAAAATAATTCCTGTTCATAATTAAAATTTCGTACTTTGTAGACTCATCTACAGTACGGATATTTATTCTGAATTCTAATTCTGACTAAACAATAGTAACAATACTGACTCCTACACCGAAAACAACAATTTATGATTTGGTATATCCGTAAAATATTTATTTATTTATACCGTATCGCAGGAATATGTCTTGAAATGACGCTAGCAATATTTTGTGGTAGATCAGTTAAATAATATGTTGGTATTTACCGTCTGCAATAAATTAAGCACAACTAAAATTTTGTCTATTTGTGTATTATAAAAAGTTGTGTGCAGCGAACATTGAATTTGTATTTGGATACAACGATTACATCATTAGTTTTTTTTTAAAGATCACTTAAAATTTTAATGTATAATTCGGTGAATTTACCATGTTTACTAATTTGTTATTGTGAATTAAGGTGTGAATTGTTAACAATAAAGGAAATATGTTTTCAAACATAAGTCAGTTTTAGGAAAAATGGACGAATCTATTTAACATGTAAAACAAAAAACTAAATTGATTTTACACATTTAAATACAACAAAACAATGGAAAATTGTATATGCATAAACACCATTTTGCGTGGGCTTTCAGGGTCGTAACATATCTAAATAGGAATGTGTTTGTAATTTGCCTATTTTAAATAAATATAGTTAACAATTACAACAATTCACAAACATTTGTATATACACATGGAGTAAGCAAAATTCCAATCATAAAACACATATGGTTGCAGTTTATGATCTTTTACAAGACTGTCAACCAATCAGGGAGGCAGCTGATTGTTAAGCAAGGTTAAGTTTTAATTATTTTAGTAAAAAAAATTAATTGGTTCCCTGTTCGGTACCTTAATTTTTGTTTTTGTAACTACGGAATAAATTATAAAAAATTGAAAGGATAAAAATCCCTGTATTAGAGAATTTTACACTAAACAGGGTGGTATGTTTATTCTGGAACATTTTTGAGAAGCGAGGGTCGCAGCAAGGACAGGCTGCTTTCACTTTTGTTTCACTTTTCATTTCGTTGTATTGATTATTAGGACCTACCCCTGTTTCGAGAGTTTTTACAAAAGCAAATTACTAGGTAGGGGATGAAGAGCATGACTAATATCATTTATGAAACAACGGAAAACATTTGTTTTATGTCTTCTTGTTCTTCATTGTCTATGTTGCGGAGAATCCAACCAAAAGAAAATTACGGAAAAAATAATGGAAAGTAATTTTAATATACAATTGTGTAGTACTTTGTATAAGCCTGTTTATAGTTTGAGTAATTGGAAATTCGTGTAAATATTTAAGAATCAATAGAATTTTCACCTGTTTCACAAGGAAATTAAGACTTTAGAAGCACATTTGGGTGTAGCTAATTGATACTTGACAAGTAAATGGTCTTTCGTCTGAGATTAATAAAATAGATATGAGAAGTGCTAAACAGTATAAATCGATTTAAGAAAGTTTAAATTTTATTTAGGAATAAATGTAAATAAAAGTAAATCTTTAATTAATAAATAAGATATAAGAGAATCTAAAAACTGGCATTAAAAATTTTATTTCATACATGTAAATGTACAAGTAAATTAAATTTTATTGAGGAACAATTTATGGTAAAATATTTAAGGTAATAGCTGAAAGAAGTTTCGTATTATATTGTCCGATCTTTTTATGGAGGGACTCAACAAAGGCCAATTGAATTAATTAAATAACGTCTGTCATTAATATGAAAGACAAGGAGACTGGTAGAAAATTCTCTTAGTAAAGAAACGCCCTGAAGTCTGCCTATCTTTCATTGTAACTGGCCGTGGATCGCAGAGGACGTCGCAAGGAATGACACGAATTTGACGAGTAAAAACGTAGGGCTTTGCCAAAAAATTAAAAGCGGCAATTTAAAATATTTTCCAGTTCCCGTATTCTAAGAAATGAAAATTTAATTGTGCCGCTGGCGCGGATTCCGGTGCGACGTTTTTGCGAATTTTGTAAAACCGTCACGTCGGTCCAGGAAATATTTAGGCAAAAACCGTCTCAGACGGCGGTGTCGTCGAATTTTGACGAACGACAGAAAAACAAATTGTCCGCCGAACAGACGAACACAACCGGTCGAGAGTTTTTCCGGCCGCGCTGCCGTCCCCGGTCCCGCGATCGTCAGTCAAGTCCCGGCCCCTTTGTCCCGCGCCGTGTCATAAACGCGAAAAAATTTACGCCGTCAGTCCAACGGTCGACATAATATAAATAGGGCCTGACATACATTAAACACGAGACACTTGTTCGGGGCGCAAACCTGACCGACCTGACCAAATTCATTATTGATCGATTTCCATGAACGTGATCTAATCAATCCGTCTACAGTCAGTCACGTCACTTTCGACTTCAAACGTCCTATGTGCGTATCGAGTTCAATTTTCCAAAAAATGACGAGTACTTATAAAAACCATTACTCAACCCCGTTTAGAGTAATAAGTACAGTCAGTTCACTTAGAGAAAGGTACACCGTACAGCCAGAATATGGCCGGTAGTTTGACGTCAGAAGTTAGTTCAGTCGCTTGTTATTTTATTATTTGCTTAGTGTGTTTACCTTGTGAAGTCGTTTTATAGAGCGAAATAGTAAAAAAAAAGCTTTCGGGTGTTTCATTCCCACCAGCCACTAATGCTGGTGGGCGGACAGTCCCTCTGGACTATCTCGGAAAGTCCTCTTCTGTCTCCTTTCAGGAATATTGGGAATGGGCGCGGGTGGTGGTTCGAAAGAGAAAGATGAGACGGACGAAATGAAGACAGAAGAGAATGAAAGATTATCTGTGAAATATTACTGCCCCAGTATTTGTCTAACTGATCCAAGGAAACCACAGAAAAACTTGAAACAAGGCAGACGGACCCGGAATCGAACCGACGTCTTGTCGAATGCTAAGCAATGGTCTAAACCTCTCGGCCATGCCACTCGGTGCGAAATAGCCGAAAATTCCTACATTTAAGCACTAAATCGCGCCGTAAATAACCTTTACAATTTACTCCTATTAGGGCAGCCCGTGCACATTGATCTGGCAACGTATACACAGGTCCCTTCCAATATTTTCTTCAGTTGGCTTTTTCAATTTTTATTATTAATTAGAAAATATGTTAAAAATAGACTCGTTTAATAATTTCTTGTCAAAACGCCTGTAGGTAAAACTGCCTGAGAAACTCGAAGATCATTCCTGTATAAAGGTTGTAATAAAATTACAAAAGGGCGTAGAAAACATAAAAGTAATATCAATCGGTCCTTGTATATTTCTCTAAGTAAACTGACTGTAGCAACCTTCTTTTAATTGAAGGCATTCTTCCAAATGTTTACTGATCTAAACTTCATGCATCACAGTAAGTTATTGAATTATAACAGATTCTTATATAGCGCCACTGCTCCACCAGAAGATATTACAGAGGCGGGACTCACCCCTTCCCGTGAAGGGAGAAAAAAGAAAAAGCTTTCTACCAAAGGGGAACGATGCGGGAACCAAATAAAAAATATATTTTTAATGTTGTTCCACAAAATTTTGCTGTTTCTACGGAATGCAATAATTTTCATAGAAAATTAAAATTTAATTGGGAAAGAAGCTTTTCTAACCATCTCTTTCTCCTTCCCGTATCCCTTATCATACCACATGATATCAATTAAGTATTTATGAAGATAAAATTTTATGGAATAATTCAATTTTTTTGTGATTTTGTTTCTGATTGAAATTTTATCATATTCGATCATAAACATGCGAAAAATAATTCCTGTTCATAATTAAAATTTCGTACTTTGTAGACTTATCTACAGTACGGATATTTATTCTGAATTCTAATTCTGACTAAACAATAGTAACAATACTGACTCCTACACCGAAAACAACAATTTATGATTTGGTATATCCGTAAAATATTTATTTATTTATACCGTATCGCAGGAATATGTCTTGAAATGACGCTCGCAATATTTGGTGGTAGATCAGTTAAATAATATGTCGGTATTTACCGTCTGCAATAAATTAAGCACAACTAAAATTTTGTCTATTTGTGTATTATAAAAAGTTGTGTGCAGCGAACATTGAATTTGTATTTGGATACAACGATTACATCATTAGTTTTTTTTTAAAGATCACTTAAAATTTTAATGTATAATTCGGTGAATTTACCATGTTTACTAATTTGTTATTGTGAATTAAGGTGTGAATTGTTAACAATAAAGGAAATATGTTTTCAAACATAAGTCAGTTTTAGGAAAAATGGACGAATCTATTTAACATGTAAAACAAAAAACTAAATTGATTTTACACATTTAAATACAACAAAACAATGGAAAATTGTATATGCATAAACACCATTTTGCGTGGGCTTTCAGGGTCGTAACATATCTAAATAGGAATGTGTTTGTAATTTGCCTATTTTAAATAAATATAGTTAACAATTACAACAATTCACAAACATTTGTATATACACATGGAGTAAGCAAAATTCCAATCATAAAACACATATGGTTGCAGTTTATGATCTTTTACAAGACTGTCAACCAATCAGGGAGGCCGCTGATTGTTAAGCAAGGTTAAGTTTTAATTATTTTAGTAAAAAAAATTAATTGGTTCCCTGTTCGGTACCTTAATTTTTGTTTTTGTAACTACGGAATAAATTATAAAAAATTGAAAGGATAAAAATCCCTGTATTAGAGAATTTTACACTAAACAGGGTGGTATGTTTATTCTGGAACATTTTTGAGAAGCGAGGGTCGCAGCAAGGACAGGCTGCTTTCACTTTTGTTTCACTTTTCATTTCGTTGTATTGATTATTAGGACCTACCCCTGTTTCGAGAGTTTTTACAAAAGCAAATTACTAGGTAGGGGATGAAGAGCATGACTAATATCATTTATGAAACAACGGAAAACATTTGTTTTATGTCTTCTTGTTCTTCATTGTCTATGTTGCGGAGAATCCAACCAAAAGAAAATTACGGAAAAAATAATGGAAAGTAATTTTAATATACAATTGTGTAGTACTTTGTATAAGCCTGTTTATAGTTTGAGTAATTGGAAATTCGTGTAAATATTTAAGAATCAATAGAATTTTCACCTGTTTCACAAGGAAATTAAGACTTTAGAAGCACATTTGGGTGTAGCTAATTGATACTTGACAAGTAAATGGTCTTTCGTCTGAGATTAATAAAATAGATATGAGAAGTGCTAAACAGTATAAATCGATTTAAGAAAGTTTAAATTTTATTTAGGAATAAATGTAAATAAAAGTAAATCTTTAATTAATAAATAAGATATAAGAGAATCTAAAAACTGGCATTAAAAATTTTATTTCATACATGTAAATGTACAAGTAAATTAAATTTTATTGAGGAACAATTTATGGTAAAATATTTAAGGTAATAGCTGAAAGAAGTTTCGTATTATATTGTCCGATCTTTTTATGGAGGGACTCAACAAAGGCCAATTGAATTAATTAAATAACGTCTGTCATTAATATGAAAGACAAGGAGACTGGTAGAAAATTCTCTTAGTAAAGAAACACCCTGAAGTCTGCCTATCTTTCATTGTAACTGGCCGTGGATCGCAGAGGACGTCGCAAGGAATGACACGAATTTGACGAGTAAAAACGTAGGGCTTTGCCAAAAAATTAAAAGCGGCAATTTAAAATATTTTCCAGTTCCCGTATTCTAAGAAATGAAAATTTAATTGTGCCGCTGGCGCGGATTCCGGTGCGACGTTTTTGCGAATTTTGTAAAACCGTCACGTCGGTCCAGGAAATATTTAGGCAAAAACCGTCTCAGACGGCGGTGTCGTCGAATTTTGACGAACGACAGAAAAACAAATTGTCCGCCGAACAGACGAACACAACCGGTCGAGAGTTTTTCCGGCCGCGCTGCCGTCCCCGGTCCCGCGATCGTCAGTCAAGTCCCGGCCCCTTTGTCCCGCGCCGTGTCATAAACGCGAAAAAATTTACGCCGTCAGTCCAACGGTCGACATAATATAAATAGGGCCTGACATACATTAAACACGAGACACTTGTTCGGGGCGCAAACCTGACCGACCTGACCAAATTCATTATTGATCGATTTCCATGAACGTGATCTAATCAATCCGTCTACAGTCAGTCACGTCACTTTCGACTTCAAACGTCCTATGTGCGTATCGAGTTCAATTTTCCAAAAAATGACGAGTACTTATAAAAACCATTACTCAACCCCGTTTAGAGTAATAAGTACAGTCAGTTCACTTAGAGAAAGGTACACCGTACAGCCAGAATATGGCCGGTAGTTTGACGTCAGAAGTTAGTTCAGTCGCTTGTTATTTTATTATTTGCTTAGTGTGTTTACCTTGTGAAGTCGTTTTATAGAGCGAAATAGTAAAAAAAAAGCTTTCGGGTGTTTCATTCCCACCAGCCACTAATGCTGGTGGGCGGACAGTCCCTCTGGACTATCTCGGAAAGTCCTCTTCTGTCTCCTTTCAGGAATATTGGGAATGGGCGCGGGTGGTGGTTCGAAAGAGAAAGATGAGACGGACGAAATGAAGACAGAAGAGAATGAAAGATTATCTGTGAAATATTACTGCCCCAGTATTTGTCTAACTGATCCAAGGAAACCACAGAAAAACTTGAAACAAGGCAGACGGACCCGGAATCGAACCGACGTCTTGTCGAATGCTAAGCAATGGTCTAAACCTCTCGGCCATGCCACTCGGTGCGAAATAGCCGAAAATTCCTGCATTTAAGCACTAAATCGCGCCGTAAATAACCTTTACAATTTACTCCTATTAGGGCAGCCCGTGCACATTGATCTGGCAACGTATACACAGGTCCCTTCCAATATTTTCTTCAGTTGGCTTTTTCAATTTTTATTATTAATTAGAAAATATGTTAAAAATAGACTCGTTTAATAATTTCTTGTCAAAACGCCTGTAGGTAAAACTGCCTGAGAAACTCGAAGATCATTCCTGTATAAAGGTTGTAATAAAATTACAAAAGGGCGTAGAAAACATAAAAGTAATATCAATCGGTCCTTGTATATTTCTCTAAGTAAACTGACTGTAGCAACCTTCTTTTAATTGAAGGCATTCTTCCAAATGTTTACTGATCTAAACTTCATGCATCACAGTAAGTTATTGAATTATAACAGATTCTTATATAGGAGTAGGTTAGAAAAGTTTACCTTGATTCAACCCATAAGAATTAGGTGATAAGAGCCCGGAAGTCACAGTTGCCATTGTGGCCAACATTCAGTCATTCCTGAAACAAAAGAAAAAACATTTATTATGAGTTAAAAAACGATGAAATAAACTAGATCGACTAGGAAGTCATAGAACTCCGTAACTGTAAAAGGAACTATCGAATATCCAAAATAAAAATCTATCCGAAACCATAATCGAATCTGTTAATAAGGGTAATTGTTATTTTTTCTGTGACTGTAGTAGTACCATATAATAAAATCCTCGCAGAAATAAATTTACTAGGTATTTAAGTTGATATTACAAATTAAATTGTAATAATTAAGAAAGTCAAAACATTTTTTAAAATACATGTCGAAATAGAGATTATTTCAAGTTGCCTAATAAATTCTACTATTTCTACGGCAAATTTAGTCATTTAAAATCGAAAATTGTAATTT